GTAAATTAGCGTCCTTAAATTTCGAAATATTGCAGTTTCAAGCATTTCTGAAATTTACCGTTATATGAAAAGCGGCCGTAATTTTAGTCCGATTTCAACAATTTTCAACGTTTTGCTTTTATGTGGCAAGCACAACAAAAATACCGAGTTTGGTACATATTGATAGAACGGTTACCAATACACATATATGTGGTCATAAGTGGGCGGTGCCACGCCCATTTTCCAAAATTTTACCATTAAGGCATTTCTTGGTAAAGAATTGTTGCGAGCATCAATTTTGAAGAAATTAGCTTTATTATTTACTGATTTATCGAAGATTTTGTATTTCTCTAAATTACCGTTATATGGGATGTGGGTGTGGTTGTTGTCCGATTTTTTAAATTTTCGGTCATTTAGTATGCTGTACCAAGGCCAACAACTGTGCCAAGTTTGGAAGAAATGGGTGCAGCGGTTACCAAGATATACCCATGTAACCATAAGTGGGCGTGGCTACGCCCATTTTCCAAAAATTTATAATATTATTATTTTTCGTCTGAAAATTATTGTAAATATCAATTTTGAGTGAAATATATTCGGTAGTTACTAAAATATCGCAGTTTTCGTTTTTCTGGAAATTACCGTTATATGGGAAGTGGGCGTGGTTACAGTCCGATTTCGCCCATTTTCAATACCAACCTACCTTGGATTAACAGAAACCTACATACCATACCATACCATTTTGTTGAGATATCTCAATTTTTGCTCGAGTTATCGTGTACACGGACGGACGGACAGACGGACAGACGGACGGACAGACAGACATGGCTTAATCGATTTCTCTATACATTTGTCTATATCTATCTCGATTCGTTTTGGCTGTTACAAACAACCGTTATGTGAACAAAATTAATATACCCTTGTGTACAAGTGCGCTCGGGTATAAAAACAGAACTTTTGCAACGATTCGTATGAATAAAAAAGATTTTCCCTACGTTGGAAAGGCAGTTAAAAAATGCGTATAATTTTCGTCACGAAATTGATATCATAAATTTTGTGTTTCTAGTTATTTAGGTCAGCTTTCGTCACTCGAAAATTTTACCTCAAAGAGGTGTTTTATTTGATATGCATATACAAGTAAACATATTGCACAAAAGCTGGTACTTCTATTTCACACCAAAGCTACCCTGTTTCCATGTAAATTAGCAAAGAAGCAACACGGTGCCACTGCTACGGGAGCGGTGCGAGAGAGACAACTGTCAGTTTATCGAACCTTGTATTATTGAATCATGGTCAATGCGTTCTAAATATTGTACGGTTATGGACAATGGATGACGAGAAATTGAAGACCAACATCAAATATATCGATAACACTGTTCTACAAATTTTGTGGTAATCTCTTAAGAAAAAAATATTTTCCAAGCCAGTTTTCCTTTCAAAAAAGCGTTTTCGTAATTTTTTCGAAAAACGTATTTTTGGTACATTTCGAGCCTATTCGTCAATATCTCATCAAAAAATTATCCAATCAACATAAGCGACCTACAGTCCTCTTACAAAAATATATTATTTTGCCGAATTCGATGCAAATGATTAGTGCTACAAGCGACCAAAATCGAAAAATTGAAATTTCAATCATTTTCTTTTTACAGTAAATGAAAATCTGATGAGAAATGTAGATGTTACGGAACACAATCTGCACAAAAAATATATATTTTTGCAAAGAGCCCATCAATACCTTTCGAACTGTTGGTAGTTTCATGAGATATTGAGGAATAACTGAAAAAATACTAAAAATACGTTTTTCGAACAAATCTCGAAAACACTTCTTTGAAACCATGGGTATTTTTTCGTGTTCAACGACACAAAGTTTGCCTAACAACTTTACTTTGGAGAGGTTCATATTTCGTGTAAAGTAATATGTAATATGCCTTATTATAATTTTGTAAATATTCATTACTAAAAGATTAATACCAATGAAGCAAATGTGATATATGTTTAAAATTCATTAAATATTTATAAAAATATAGCATATTCTCCGTCTACATCCCATTTAAAAAATTTTTGAAAATTAAAAAAAAAATAAACATAGGGGCGACATTTTTTTGTTGACGGTGCTGCGCATTTTCTTCCATATAAAAATTTTGGCAAGCATACTTTGTATGGTAGAAAATCAAAAAAAGGGTGCGCTATTCAAATGACGAGGAATGTATATATGTATGTAGTATATTTTTGTTATTTTTATACTACGCAATTATATGTAGGTAATTTTTTTGAAAAATTGTCCTGCATTTTCAAAATATATTTATGGTCACCGTATGTATAGTGCTAGTTCGCAAATGCAAGTCTCGACTAAATTATGTTGGTAAAGATAACGAGTTTGCTTTACTCTGGATGCCGGCCAACTCGGGAGTGCGTGGAAATTAGACATCTGACCATTTGGCCATAGGTGGCTTAGACCAGGTATTCCCTGATCCGCAACCAGCAGCACTCCTCACTTCGACCATCGAAGCCACCATCAGAAACTGGGTGGCCACTTCGCTCAGCAATGACTGGGAGCCATAGAGTGGATGCAGGTGGGAAAAACTCATGTTGCCTTCAATCTCAGAAGGTCTATCTAGTTTTTTCCTCTAACTAAGAAGACGGGACTGCTGACTGGTCACTTCACGTGGCTCAAACACCTGGATGTGAAAGGCGTATATGACAAGTCCATTTGCCCATCCTGTTTTGAAGAGGATGAGACGGTGGAACACTCCTTGAGCTTCTTGCTTGCTTGTTTGTTTATCATCGATTTATCTAGATTCGATGTTTTGTTTTTTGTCAGTTTCTGAATTTGAAGTTTGGCGTAAAAAGCTTTGCAGTTTTGTTGTTTCAGGTTTTGTGTTTAAAAAATGCGGATGACGAATATTTTTCGCATCACTTTAAAACTCGGAGCTATAAAAATAAAAATGATGCCATCAACACAAATAAACTATTTATCACATGCAAAGTGAGCCGAAAGTTGAGGAGTTTATTTATTGCTCTTAAAAAATATAACTCCTCAAAGCGAGATAGTTCTTTCATGGCTTTACGGGCTCTATTTTTTAAAACTTGCAAGTATGTAATCACATTATTTTAAAAATAGAATACAAGAAAATATTTTATTTTTATTTTTGCACTCCGAATTTAGTTTTGGAACTCACCCGCGATGCAAATTTACGTCGTTATATTTAATCTTCACATTTTTTGATGAGCTTTGAGAATATGTTAGAAATGAGCATCATATGGTCCACCGAAACCAGTAAAGTTTTGAAACAAGTCTACGAGAAAAATAAGTTTGGGAACCTCTGGTATACTATGTAATATGTATACATAGTTTTAAGCTGTAATTACTTAAGACGTGTAAACGTCTGTTCCTCAAACCGGTCTATAGTTTTAGCAATAATCTCAGATTGGTTCTCTCATACAAACTTTCGATGTACACTTAGAAGACACAAACGTAAAGACGAAGTAATAAACAATTGAATTATAAATTTAACTATTAGTTGACCGTTCAATCCATTTTCGCTCATTGTCAACTACAGCCAGGTTTTACCATTCTTAATTGGAATTACTTTGAAGTTAGCGAGAATAACTTAAAACAAAACCGGATAATCTACATATTCACATTTTTAATTATGAAAATTTACAAATTATTTTTTTTATATAGTATATACATAGAAAAAAACTTGAAAGTTAGGGGGGCCCAAATTATCGAGGAGCATTTCCTGGTACTATTTTTGAATATATAGGAACAAATTTGGAATTTAGGGGGAATTTTGCTTTCGATGGTGTAGCGAAATGTTAGAAAATTGTGAAAAATGTATAATTTTGCATTCGTTTCCTTACTTTTTGGCGGCTAGACACTAATTTTAAACACATTTTATTAATTTCATGCAGTTTTAACGTCGTGAATACAAAACACAAGCTCGAAAGGCTGATTTTACTTGTGATAGAAAATCCCAATACTCAGTTGGCACGATCTCTGAGAACAAAATCGTAGAGCTGTTTATAGTTTTAAAATATTTTAAATAGATTTGGCTCACAAAAGACTCTGGGATAGTCGGAAGTTTATAATAAATCTGTAGACAAATTTCTTACATATATTTTATGACAAAATATATTCGAAAGACTACACTTAAACTCTCTTAAAAAACTCTCTTTTTTATTTCATTTTAATTTGCACAAATTTACATACATATGCATAAGCACACTATTTAGTTTGCTCGATTTTTAAACAAAGCTTCTCAGCGGTGAAAAATATACTATTGTGAAAAACCTAAGAAATCGAAATTCACAATAGCGCTATTCTTCATCGAATGAGCGTCATAATACCAACTGAAAATTCGTTCGGTCAGCACTTTCAACCACAGTCGAAGATCGAATGCAACTCATAATAGGGGCCTAAGTATGTTTCCAGTATTCGCTCACGTACATAAATTCATTTGTTAATATTTACATATTTTGAAACTCTGAAATTAAATATACTGAGCGATTTCGATATTTTGGAGCTATTTATAGCTCAACCAGCCACCGATGGAGCGCCCTTCCTGCCGACTATATCAACATATGAAATTGCTGTTGATAGAGAGAGAGAGAGAGAGAGAGAGAGAGAGAGAGAGAGAGAGAGAGA